CCACCAAGATTTTGGCTTGGTCAACTTTTATTTCTGTGACCTGGGACAAGTCATTTAGCCTTTCTCTATCAAAACATCATCACATTAAAATTAAGGATTATAGTACTGACCACACGGGGCTGTGGTAAGGATTTAGTGAGAACAATAGAGTATGCTAGGTGCCAAAAGAATTGTCCATAATTAAACGTAGGACCACGCCAATCTGGCTTACGTGTAAGGTCTGCTCTCCAGACTTCCCTATATTCGTTAGTCTATTTTTATACTGTACGTATCATCCAAGCACCAAACTTTTAAGAACACACCTCAAAAATCCAGACTGAAAAAAGAATGACACGCTTGCCCTTCTCATCTCTTAAAATGCAAACTTTATTTGCTTCATATTTTCTCTCCCAAGTATTAAACATATGGTATTTCATCTGCCTCCATGAAATTTTAAAGCAGATACAGATGTTCTTCTCCACTAAGTGTTGGATTTAGTCAGAAGACCCGGCTGTGAATTCTGCCTCCTCCACTGACTTAACAGTGGGATCTGAATCAGCTGGCGCCATCTCTCTGAGCCTTGGTATAGCATAAGGAATAACAATGATGTGGCAGTGGTGGTGAGACGAGGATCTCTCCCTCACAGACTTGTTAGGAGGGCTGTATGAACTCTCCTGGGACAATGGTTGCAGTGTTTAAAGTGTAAAGTCCACGTTTGTCTTACTGTTTATGATGGGAGAACCAAGGCTCATTGCGTGGAGAAGCGGCTCAAGGTCACCCATGGTCAGACTGTGCCCACAAATGTCAAACTAGGACATTCCCAGTGGAATGGCCACCTGTCATTCCAACCTGTACAACATCAGGACGTTGTTAGGCTTTGGTCCAAATCTGGTACAGCTTCAAGATGAAGCTTCCATATGCCTTCTGGATCAGATCTGAGATGCCTTCAACAACAGGGACTAAGACAGCTTATAGCTTATCACAGTCTAGCAGAGGTAGAGGGACCTTGATGACAGTCTAGTTTCAAGGCTTCCAAGTCTTCCTTATTATAATCAGGAGGCTACTGAGACTTGGAGTAACTACATAGCTTGTCACCATCTCATCTAGGAAAGAGGAAAAGGTAGAATGTGAGCGCAGAGTTTCCAGATCCCCCGGGTAATGCTGGCTCATGTTAACTCTCTGACATAAGTAATTCTTTCAAATAGGTTTGCCCTGTGACTCTGTAACATAGTTTGCTTACGGGATTAGATGGGCTTTAAAGAGTTAATCCACCCTCTTCATCCCTACTTCCATAGCATACTCACGGGCAAGAGGAGCTCCCCTCACCTTCACATCTGTATGGTTTCCACGTGATGGACAGACACCCCTCCACAAAAAAACAATACGTCAGCTTTTAACTTAATTAACACCCTATCTTAATTAAGGCTCCTCTGGCTCGCTGAAATAAATTGGGGGGTTTATCAAAAAGCTCCTGGGGTGTCTTGCAAAACTGATGCAACAGCCAAAGCCTGGCAAAGGAGATAACCAGAGAGGCTCCAGGGGGTTCCTTAATAGAAGCTGAAGGCCAGAAACCTGGGCTCTCGAGCTGTGCTGTCCAGTACAAGAGACACTAGCTTTTAAATTTAAAAATACTTTAACTCAATTAAAAACCTGAGCTCCTCAGTCACAGTGGCCACACTTCAGACACTCAGCACCCATGTGTGGCTAGTGGCGACTGTGCTGGACAGCGCAGGCTGCAGAACGGGCCCACCCCCTGAGACAGCTGTGCGGCGGGGCCCTGCTCCAGGCTACACAACACAGTGGCTCCGTCCCCAAGGCTCCCAGGCTGTGCGTCACCATACTCTCATCTTCCGGAGGGAGAATTTGGCCAGGGTTATTAGGCTGTGTCTGTATGCTGGAACAGTCCACTGTGACCAGGGGGGACAGGGCCACGTAGCACAGGCCTGGCCGGCCACCTCGACTGAGGTCCTTCCCAGCATCATCAGATGAGGCATCTTCACACTGCTATCCTGTGTAGTGCCCCCCGGAACTTCCTGCTCACCCCTCACAGCAGCCTGGGCTGATGCAGTGGAGACTCTGGGAGGCAGATTCAGGGTTACAACCCACTTCCTGTGTCTTGATTGTTACGTTCATAATGCCTTCTCTGCACACGCCTCTTTGAAAAACCTAAATTATTAAGAAAGGTATTTATTTTCTCATTCATTTTAGATAACATTCTTGAAACCATCCTAATAAACATCAGCCCTCTTTTAAAAAGTCCTACTGGGAGTGTTAACAGGAACAAAAGACTGAACAGTACACCACTTTTATGTCTCCTCATCTCAAGGCATCACCCAGTGCATCTGGGGCTGTGTACGCCGAAGGGATGATTTTAATCCCAGAAAACCCTCTGAGTACAGGATGCGTTTTTTAGAACACAGGTTCAGAGGAGGGACAGAGAGGCGTCATTTAGGCTCTTTTGTCCCTTCTATGAAAAGCACCTGCACTGATAACAAAGAAACTGAATTGCAAAACTAATTATTGGAGCCATTTTTAATTAACCCGGCCAGCTAATGTAGTCCCTGGGACGTTTGTTCCATAGGATTTTTCCCTTCGGGATGAAATCATCACTGGTTTTGGTCCTCACTGGATCCGCGTGGACTGAGCGTCATCAAGTCCTCGTACTGAGTGGGTGTGTGTGCACCTCTAGGTCGGTAAGCAGGCTGCAGGGTTTAGTTTCTCCCACTGCTTACGGTTTCTCCTTGAGTTTGTCTCCCCATAGAGTTCCTTTTTTAGGTTTCCCACAGAACCCTCAGGTCTTGTATCTCAGGGTGTCTAAACTCCACACGTACTCTGGCTCAAAGACACCCTGAGCCCAGGAGCTGCAATGCGTCCCCTTCCCCGCCCCCAGTGGTGTTCTGAGGGTGCACACAGGTCTGAAAAACTTCTAAGGCAGCCGTGCTCAGCTTTGACTGCACGTTACAATGGCCTGAGAAGCTTGTAGAAAAGACCCAGTCTAGCTGTACTCCAGATCAATTAAATCAGAACACCCAAGGGTGGGACCAGCATCAGTGATGTTTATAGCTCCCCTGGTGACTGCGAAGGGTCTTTGAGTGGCAGGTTAGTGGACCTGGCGTTCCCAGTGCAAGATGTAGGACGAGGCTGTGCGTTTCTAATTGTGCTGTCATAATGCGGGTGATCCCAGGTGATGCTTACACCAGGCAGGAACCACATCCTGTTCTCTAAGGCATACTTCACTTTGTCCCCAATCCATTTATTTCCCCAATATTTGGGGGGAGCACAAGAATATTTTGAGGCACAGAGGACAGTGTGGTGGAAAAGGAGTTAATCCCTGCCTTCATGGAGCTTAAATTCAAGAGGAAGTGCAGACAATAAATAAGTAAACAACTAAATTAGTGAAATCATGCCGAGCAAGTCTTGATGAAAAAATATGTACTGAGTGATGAGACAGAAGGTGAGTAGAAGATGCTCTTTTCGGGTAAACAGCCAGGTAAGGATTCTGAAGCTGACAATTGAGTGAAGACCTGATGGAGGAAGGGTTGAAAAGCACAATAAAGAACGGGCAGGCCAGGGGGTAGAGGCACCTTCCTCATCAGCTCGAGCTGCAACCCACTGGCTGAACGATGCGAGGAAGCCCACCTTTCCTTTCGCAGCCTGTTTACTCATCAAGCTTCCCTTGTAGCATTCTTTGGAAGATTAAAATTTTATCAAGAATTTAGTTCATGCTCTATTCACACTGAAGCAACACTTGCCTGCTGGCATCAGGTCTCCAAGAGGGAAAGAAAACAGAACTTTCCAACAGCACTGGGTGAGCCATCCATCTTGACTAGACTTCGTAATGGAGACATATGAAGGTTGAAGTGATTTCACTGCCATCAGGAACCCCCCTGAGACACAGGATGGAAAACAGCAGAATAGAGAAGAATGAAGAGGTCAGGAGACCAGAACACGCTGTGTAGGTGTGACTTATGGGGTGGGAGTGATGTCATCAAGATGGCAACAGAGGTGGTTCCTGAGTCATCCCTCCCTCACAGAAGAACAGCTCACATCTATTCATGGACAAGACATCACTGAGAAAGTCCTCAAACAAGGGAGGGAGGCTGAAGCACCCCAGCACCACAGAGAGCAAGGCAGACTACATCAGAAGGGTAGGAGGAACAGCTACGTGCTGACCACGTCATCCCACCCCAGGCTGGTACCACAACACAACAAGAGGTCTCCCCTGGAACCTACGGTTCCTCCAGTGAGAAGAGAAGGCCCAGAGTAGACATTCAGAGCCCCCAGCATGGTGGGTATCTTCTGGGGAGTCCCCACTCCAGTCTTGACCACTGAGAGTCAGATTGTGATGGAGTAGAGGGCAGGAGCTTGAATGACCAGTTCTTGGATCTTGGCAGACTGAGTTCTTACCTGCATCATCCAAGGAGAAGACTCAACCACCAGCTTCACTCATCAGCCGAGCCAAGACAGCATGGTACAGTCTGAAAAGGGAGCACAGTGGGGTACAGGTCTGCCTGATTTGGGGCATCAACTGAAAAGCTTTACTGGACCTTGAGCCCCTTCCACCCCCAAGAAGAGGAAGTCATTCACAGTCCTAACCAACGCGGACTGCAGCTCCCGGCCCTGCCCGACCAGGAAGCCTAAGCACCTGGAGACTGCTTGGCCCAGCAACACCAGGGCAGAGAGCCTGGCCAGCGGTCCTGCCCCTCTGCAGACACAAGCCCAGTGACCCCGCCTGGCCGAAGAGTCTGATGGACAAGTCGGCCTGACGAGATCCCCAAATGGGAGTCCGGTCAACCCTGGGGCCTGTTCTGGGGCTCGCCCTACTTCCTTGTGCAGAGGCGCTAGTCTGCAGCACTGCCCACTGCTGAATACAGCCCCCAATACTGCTGACCAGGGACGCTAACCAGAGCTCCGGGAACCTTGGCAGCGTGCCCTGCAGCCCTGACTGCGGCGGCACCTGAGCAGAGAACATCGTGTCTCAGGGTCAAGATGGTGGCCCATCCTGTCCAGACAGCTTAGCAGACAGCCTTATTTGATTCCCCAGCAAAGACCTTCCTGGGGCCGATTCTGCAGCCTGACTGGGCAAGGAAGCTAAGGTCTGGTCCCACCCAAAGCTGAATACAGCCTCCAGCCCAACCCAGCAAGGAAACCTAGAGAGTTCCCAGAACTCTGCGTGGCCCACCTTGCCATTCCGATGACAGTGCCACAGGGACCCGGGCGGGGCCCTGCCCACCCGCAGAGCTCGGACTGCGCCTGTGGAGGCCAGGGGACCTGGCAGATAGCGCTGCCTAACGTGGCCTCCAAACAAGAGCCCTGCAACCTTACACCCTGTCAAGGGCCCTGCCTGGGCAGAAGAACGAAGCTGCAGCCCCACTCGCTGCTGCGCACTGCTCTCAGTCTGCCAGCGGGGGACCTAGACAGAGCACCCAGGGAGCTCTGCAGCCCGCCTTACAGCCTCGCTCAGAGCGACACCAAATAGGAAGCAAATCCCAGGGCTGTCTCGACCTGCAGAGAAAAATGGTGGCCCTTTCTGGCCAGGAAATTCAGTGCACAGCCTTGCCTGGTTCAGTTCCGCAAACAATGGGCCAGTGCAGGCTGTGGTGTCCTTTCTGAAACCCTGTCAGGGCAGGGAAGCTAATTCGCAGCCCTGCCTCCTGCTGAGTCTAGTACCCAGTCCCAGGTGGGACGCCCGACCAGAGAGCATAGGCAGCAGTGGAGCCGTGGTACAGCCCCACGTGGGCAGGGAGCCGAACTAACCGTGGCAACACCTCCCCCCTCAGAGCTCAAGCAGAAGCCTTGCCCAGGTACACCCTGGCAGCAAGCCCTGCATGCCCAAGGACCCAGAAAACCAAGCAAGTGGCCCGGTCAAGCCTGGAAGAGGAGACTGCTTACCCAGATGCACAGATACCCACGTCAGAAGCCAAGGAGCACACACACACGAAGGTAAACGTGGCACCACCGAAGGAAGCTAATAAAGCTCCAATAACTGACCCTAAAGAAATGGAAGCCTAGCAACTGTCAGACAAAGAATTCAGAGTAACCCTCTTAAAGAAGTTTAACCACACACAGACAAGATGAAATTAGGAAAACAATTCATGAACAAAAATCCCAAAGGAAATAAATACACCGAGTAAACTGCAGAATTCAACAGAGAGCTTAAACAGTAGACTCAACCATGCAGAAGAAAGAGTCAGTGATCTAGAAGACAGGGCATTTGAAATTACCCAGAGGAGCAAAAAGAAAAATGAAAATGAGCAAAGAAAGCCTACAGGACAAATGGGACAAAATTAAAAGAAAAAGAAGGAGAAGATGAAAAGAAAGTATATTTGAAGCAATAATGGCTGAAAACTTCCAAAACTTGAGGAAAGAAATGGACATCCAGATCCACGAGGCCTAGAAGAACCCTAAACAGGTTGAACCCCAATAGGACTACACCAAGACACATTATTGTAAGACACATTCAAAAGTCAAAGACAAAGAATTTTGAAAGCAGCAAGGGAAAAGAAGAAAGTTACACAAGAAAGAACCTCCAGAAGACTGGAGTAGCATTTCTCGATAGAAACTTTCAGGCCAGGAGGAGATGGGATGATATATCAAAACATTGAAAGGAAAACCTGTTAATCAAGAATTATTCAAAAATGAAGGAGAGATAGAGACTGTCCTGAGCAAACAAAAGGCGAAGGGGTTCACCACCAGTAGACCTGCCTTACGAGAAACACTACAGCATTTCTAGGCTGGATGTAAAAGAACACTAATGAAAATTATAAAAACGTAAGGTGTGGCATAAAACTTACTGGTAATGATAGATTTATAATCAAAGATAGATTTTGTAATACAGTAACAGAAATATGCTTCACTTACAATGCTAGTTTAAAAGCTAAAAACAAATGTAGTAAAAAAAATTAACCATAACTATAATAATTATTGGCTATGAAGTATTATAGATATGTAACACTGAAATACGGTGTTATAATTTTAAGATATTTTCTATAAGCCTTATGGTAACCACAAGGATAAAACCTGTAGTAATTACACAAAACAATAATCAAATTAAAGCATACTGATACCAAAAGGCTTAAAAATACTCACAAAAAAGGATAAGCAGCAATGAACAATTAACAAAATGGCAATAAGTCCTTACCTATTTATAATTACTTTAAAAAGTAAACTGAGTAAAATTTCTAATCAAAAGATACAGAATGGCTGAATGCATTTAAAAAAATCAAGATCCAGCAATATACTGCCTACAAGAGACTCACTATAGCTTTAAACACAAGTACAGAGTGAAGGAATGAAAAAAGTTATTTCAAGCAAATAGTAATAAAAAATGGGATACTTAGATGAAATAAACTTTAAAAATAGTAAAAGAGAAAAAGTCATTATATAATGATAAAAGCATCATTCCTTCAAGAAGATCTAACAATTGTAATATTTATGCACTCTACATTGGTGGACCTCAGTATATCAAGCAAAAACAGAACTAAAAGGAGAAATCAACAGCAATACCATAATAGCTGGGGACTTTAACATCCTACTCTCAAGAATGGATAGATTGTCCAGACAGAGAATCAATAAGGAAACAGTGGATTTGAACAATGCTATATATGAAATGGACTTAACAGGCATACACAGAACATTCTGTCCAACAACAGCAGAATACATACACACATTCTTCTCAAGTGCACGTGGAACATTTTCTAGGATAGATGACAGGTTAGGCAACAAAGCAAGTCTTAGAAACTTTAAGAAGCTACAAATCACACTGAGTATCTCTGACCGAAACATGAACCTAAAAATCAGTAACGGGAGATAACTGGACAACTCTTGAACATGGAAATCAGACAGCACTCTCCTGAACCACCACTGGATCAAAAAAGAAATTAAAGAGGAAATAAAGTACCTTGAGACAAATGAAACTGGAAACACAACATACCAAAACTTATGGGGTGCAGCAAGTCCAGTTCTAAGAGGGAAGTTTGTAACAGGAAATGCCCACATTAAGAAACAAAAAGATATCAAATATTAGAGCACACATAGAGGACAAGAAAACAATAGAAAAGAACCAGCTCTTAGCTTTGATAAGCAAAACCGACAAACCTTTAACTAGACTAATCAAGGAAAAGCAAGACCCAAATCAACAAAATCATAAATGAAAAAGCAGACATTACATTTGGTACTACAGAAAGATAAAGAATTATAAGAGATGATGATCAACTATACACCAAATTGGATATCTTAGAAGAAACAGAAAATCTGAACAGACTACCAGTAAATATATTGAATTAGTAATTTAACAAAAACCCAACAAAGGAAAACCCAGAACCAGATGGCTTCACTGGTGAATTTTATGAAACATTTAATAAAGAATTAATGCCAAATCTACTCTTCCAAGAAATTAAATAAGAGGGAATAGTCCCAAATTCATTTTATAAAGCCAGCATTACCTGATACCAAAGCCAGAATAGATACTACAAGAAAACTGCAGGCTGATATCCCTCATGAACACAAATGTAAAAATTCTCAA